TATTTGATCATAATGACCATATGGTTATAATTTATCGTAACTTGCATTAGTAGTATGAAAATATGAACAATAATTTAATAAGTACCTATAGCTAGGGATAAACGATTATTCATATTTTTTCTTATGGACACCCGACTGATTGTTCACCATATTGGATTTTACGTTTGAATTTGTTTTGCAACGATTAAGATTGCATCTGTATATTATTAGTGTCTTCGTGATCGTTTTATTAATATATCGCGAGCAAAATGTTATATATAATCCCAGCAGCTCTCCGCCGAGAGCATCACCCAAAGTAATTACCTAAAATATAGTAGAACAGTAATGGATTTTCTCACTGTTTACGCGTGTTTCGGTTAAGCCGTATTAAAAAGTTTCTAGATCTTCACTGATTAAACATAATATATAGGTAAAGGTATAATAATATATTATAGAACCATCTGAGATGTTTTTCAACGCGTTTGTTACTTCTGCGCGTATACGACAAAAACTTGATTTTCGCAAACATTGTACATGCCATGTATAATTTTTTGTTACGACTGCAAATATTTTTCGTTCTATAAATAACTATAGAACGAATTTAACGGGATTTAGTTTTAGTATAGGTAGGTATCTACCTACCAATTAATAGTCGTTCGTTTTTTTTTTTTTGTAAGTGCGGCGTTTAACACCAACAACAACATTTAAAAATCGTTACAACAGACCGAAATATTACATTTCACAATACCCGTAAGTAAGTACATCGAATCGATTTGCCCACAGGACGGGTGCAGGCGATCCGTTCCGTATAATATTTTCGAGATATTTTACACTTATTATGTAATTTAAAGCTATATACTCGTAACTCGAATGTCGTTTCCTCGGAATTAAGAAACGTGATGACCCGGACGGTATTTGAGGGACTTTCGAAAAGCGCGTGCGGATATGATAGAACAACAATGATATGGATTCGAAAACGAATTTAAATTTGAAAAAAAAAATATATAAATATACAATGTATATTATACATAGATTATATACATAAATTTATAGCCCCCCAGTGGTTTTTAGTATCCGATTTCAGTATTTTTAATTTAACATATTATTAATTTTGTAATATCTATATCGAACATTTTAATTTATTGTAATAAATCGCCAAATAATCGGAATTTAGCTTTTTCGAGAAAAAAATTATCACGTATTATGTATAGTAACAAAGTCTATACTGTTGTTCGTTACACATGATGATTAGATTAGTTAGCCGTTTGTATTGTGTACCTTTTTTTTCTCCGCAATCACTCCCGATCCGGGGGGAATCGCGTTAGCAATACTTCCTCCGGTCCGGCACAAATTCCATACCGAAGCCTTAGGCCGGTGGCATAGGCAGCGCAGAACCATCCCGCAGGTCTATCGGTCCACAGAGAAGATCCACAACGTTCTCAGGGGGAGGGTCTTATCCCTCAATAAACCCCTGAAGCCGTTTCTATCCGCTACCCACCAAATCATTAATTGTGTTGTACACCTAACCCGAGTATGTTTTTGTGAAATCAACTCCATAACGACGTGTTTGTTGAGTTTTCTCTCGTACCTATTGTCTAAACAGTAACAAACGCCACACAAATGGCGACGGATATGAAATTTGTCACGTGGTGAATAAAAATCTAGTAGGATGCATTACCAAGGAATGTCTATTTTACAAATGTTATTAATTGTGTCCCATAGGATACATCAGCAATTACTGATAATGTTTGTTATTTATTATGATAGTGGTTTAGATAACTGTAGCCTAGAGGTAAAGGATATCATGTCCATTTTTTTATGATAATGAGTTAACCTCGTTGTAAATTTGTCGTTCTATTTAAAAGTATAGAGCAGCGGTTCCCAACCCAAGGGCTGTGGTGAATATGATACTGGGCTGCGGACGCTGGTCAAGGACAAAATAGCCAAGGGTCGGAAAATTTAAAAAAAATTATATTATTTTAATATAAACGTTTATATATTTCGATCGAAATATAGAAATAATCCCATCACAATTATCTCCATCGTATAATTTTATTGATTGTCGTTTTCATACATTCATATTTTCTATATTCTAGAATACTTTTGTCATTTATATCGTATTTTATCATGCTTGGCGTGAAGTATGGGCTCGTTGCGATAAACTTAAAAAAAATTGCTTTTCTATTAACCTAAATAAGACAGATAACATACTCGACGTTGAAAAAGTTGTTAGTGTCGCACAGCCTGACAGCTGAAACGTATGGAAGCCAAGTCCGTATTACTTTTGGCTAGAGTCAAGATGAAGTCAAGTTCGATTAGGACCGAGCTGATTATTGTACGTATATTTCCGTCATACTGATATTTTTATATATATATATAAGATATTTTTTTTTCCCTTCTTGAGTGTCGGCACAATAATAATCTTCCGTTTATTCGTGTAGGCTGATGGCCAAAATAATGAAAAATAGCCGCAGACATTTTCGAAAGATTTACGTTGCAATTAGGATCGATTTACATTGAGCAAACCGGTCACCGTATAATATAATATTATAACTATTCACGACTCGTTATATCATTAAATATTATAACTCAATTGCTATAAAATATTATTATAGTTACAGTGTTCTCATTCGTGTCGTGATTGCATCTCGTTGCAAATGCAAATTTATATAGTGTGATGTTGCAGGATCAATAGAAACGACAGATAGAACTGGAGGAAGGGTCTTTCGTCCTTAAAATCGTATTTCCCCTTTGTGTTTTAATGGTCTTTTTTATTCCTCGTCGTCACGCATTGCACAACAGTTTAGAATATTCGACTTAATTATACAACGGTGACTACAAATAAAATTTCCTATGCGTGATGTTTATAAAAACAGTTAGTAAATTTATGTAGCTATCTTACAAGAACTTAAATAAATAATTACTTCCTATATTTTTTATTCGTATAGTTATTCAGGATTTAATTTTGTTTTTTTTTTTGCCGAAATCCTATTATAATACTTGGGTCTTGTGTATAACGTGATAATGAAATAGATAAATTTAAATTCAATAACCACTAAAATATATATGGTTTATTCGTTTAATATTATTTTATCTAATACAAAATGTACAGAAATTATTATAAATGATACATATTGATTAATTTATTTTATACCTATGGTTTGACCTAGGTATCATATTTTATAAACTGTTTCATCTGTCTCTTACCGTATAAATGTACAATGGGTAAAATGAACAACGAAAAAAAAATTGAAAATGGTTACTTATTCGGGTAGCAGGATATATTTAGGTATACTTATCTAAAAATGGAATACCTATGTTATCCGTTAGACAGAACACGTAACACACAACAGAAATATTTCGAATATACTTCGCATATAATTAAACGTCAACTGGAATTAAACACATGTCTGTTGTATAGATATTTATAAACTACTTGAAAATGTACTGTAATTGTATGAAATTGTTAAATTGTATAGTATCTACAAGATTCGGATACCTGTATATATTTATTTTTAACTAAATGATAAATTGTCCTTATTTTAGTAGTAAATAGGTACATGCGTATACTGAATGGAAATCTTTAAGAAAAAACCCATTTTTTTAATCATATGTTTCAAATTATTTATTCTGTATAGGCTAGTGAAAAAGAAAAATTGGGAGCCGTCTAAAATCGTATATTATTATGCTATCCCGCGCGGCATTAAGCTCAATTTTAGCGTGTTTCATGATTTTCGGTGACTGTAGTAAAATTAATTTGTATACGATATGAGTAATATTTCGGTCCATTTATACCGTGGTAACGCGTGTTTCTACTCCAATCATCGTTTTTGTTTAATTCATGAACAGTTCAAACCATTGACCATGGACATAAACCTAAAATTGACCAACATACAGTTTTTTGAAATTCAAAATTAACACATTTGTATTGAGTGATTTTTTATGGATTTTAAAATTTGTATTTATGAAATAGAATAATAATTACTTTTTATCATATTGTTTTTATTTGCAATTAAATTGTTGAATGTTTAAATTTCAAAAAACTCTAACTCGGTTAATTTTAGATTTAGATCCAATGGATCAAAACGTCTTAGAACAAAATGATCTATCCATATAATCTGGTGACAAAAACAAGGGTTACTATTTAAAAAAAAAAGTAATTTTAATTGCGCATGCACGCACTGAAAGGGTTACAAAACAGAAAATTATCTCAAAGCGTGTACTTCGGTACTCCCCATCACCTCCCGAAAACCCCATTCCAATCTAAGGTCATCGGGCTGAAATATTTAGTGGTACATGTAAGACAGGACACGCTGTACATAATATATGTACCACCCACAATTTCAGATTTGTCAACTTCGCATACTTATGTGACATTGACTGTATATATAGTGGCCGGTTTTCTTTCGGTCGCGGTTAAATTAGATTAGTGTTAACATTACACGTGGCGTGTCGATGATAATATATTATGTATCGTGACACCAAACGGTAAAATTAATTGGCACTGAAATAAATTCTCACCTTATTGGGCCGCACGGATCGCTTCGCTTAAGTTGGAAGATGCATCACGTATTTTGGTCGAATTGAGTTAACAGCACATTCTTGTTTGAAATTTCAAGGGAAATCGTTTAGTGTATTCATTATAATAGCCGAGAACACAGGCGTCGTGCAAATGGTAAAAATAATAACAACTACTAGGTATCTATATTCACAGCATGTTTGTAAAACGGTTTTTCGTCGGCGGTTTTTGTAGGACCAATAGTTATTTTGATTATATTATTATTTTGTATCCCGCGAAAAAACCGCATGCAAAATGATACCCGAGAGTCCATAACACCATACTCGTTCGGCTGTATGAATATTGTGTTTAAAGGATTTTTTTTTTGATTTTTTCATTAATCCAAGTGTATTTTTGCAGCGAGATACGCTGTAGGTACGATCTACAATAATTCCGTTCAAAGTCCAAAAATATGTGCAGACTTTTTTGGCGTTTGTACTTTACTTAACTTGTACATACTTTTCGCCCTTTCGGTTGGTCATCGTGCAGCCAACTATGCAATTTAATGATTGTTTGAAAAAAATAAAAACCCGTTTCTGAACGAAATTCAAGAACTTGTGTATACAATATTAGATTGCCAGAGGAACGAGATGGTTTTCCTGGATGTTTTCTTTTTTTCTTTCTTTTTATATCTGTAAACAAATTTCCACCAATGATCTTACTCCAATCGTCAACTTCAAGCGTATTTACTGATACCAAATTAGGTTAATGCATCGCAAAAGTCTTTTTTTGATTTTCTTTGTAGTTTCCATAATACATGAGTTAGCCCGGGAAAGAAGTTGTAAAAACGAGAACAAAACGCATGCAGCGATAACGGTTTCTGTTATTTTCGATTTTGTTTTTTGTTGTAATTCAGTTATAAATTATCGTAGTGGTTCTCGACCTCTCTTGATTCTTATCACTCTTATCTTTAACAATCTAACCCTGCGTTGTCCTACCATCGAAATAAACATGATGCATTAAAATATTAGGATTTAAACAAATTTAAACTGTAGATTTTAGAAAGAAAATAACGGTTTTATATTTTTAAAAAAATACAGTACACATACAAATAAGAAATATATTTAAATAAATAGAAATAATTTAAAAATAAGAACTACGTGGTATGCCCGTTTTGTGTACCAACACAATTTTAGTAGCATCAGCGGTATTATTGAAGAATAAGTGGTGAGAAAGAAATATTATATTATTCCGACGGTGGTGGCGATTACACGACGACTGCGACAACAGCAATAATACGATTTTATTCGAAAAAATTAAAAATTCTCTTACTTTTTTTCCCCTAAGATTTCATGTCACCTCTATACTGAGTCCACGTTAACCCAAGGTAACATATCACTCCAGTTGAGAACCACTGAATTATCGCACAGACTTTAAATATCCAATGAATTAGCACTTTATAAATATGACACAATTTCCTAAACGTTATGGTGATTTTTAATATTATTGATAACCATTTGAAATATTCCAGTTAATTCTCTTTATTAATTTTATAATACAGATAAACAATATTTCGGCTTTTCAAAAAAGTTAGGGAATTGTATACAAGGCCCGTTGAATGTTGTTCCAATGAAGTGTCCTATACAAATATACAAATATTGCAAAACTGTATTTACGAATTTGTTATTTTTTTATGTAAGCGTTTAGTTAAAAATTGTTTATGAAAATCACGACATTCCGCGTATAGCTACTATATTTTTCGATTTATGAGAATACAACATTTTTTTCCGAACCGTTAAAAGATGCACAATCATTTTAATCGAAAACAATCAAATTTAACTGAATTTCGCTCAGAATCGTTTTTCGTTGACGACGGTTTCCTGTTGCATAATATCTCCATGGAGTGAAATATGTCGACTTTTTTTATCTTGTACTTTTTTTTTAGCCTTGTGGTATGTGGAACTGGGAAATTCGACCTCTTTGGGATACCTATATATATATATATATACATGTACATATACCACTACGTAATTATTGCGGGTGTGCATTCAAGCCTTACGAATTTTTCATATAATATGCGCGTCAACGTAATTAAAACTTTATATTATTTTTTACTTGACGTGTGTTAGGTTACCACATGTAACTATATGGAGGTTCGAAAGAACCGACAGGATGACAGCATTTTTTTTTTTTTTTTTTTTTTTTTTTTTTTTTGTTTTATTTGAATAATATTATTTTGCATTACAATGACGATGAAGGGAACTTCACCTCGCGATGATACGACTGCAGCTGGACCAAAGTCAGAGGAAAAGCTATCATCAGACGCGAACACGATTATTATTATTATTATTCAATCGATCGGTAATAATCAGGGTCAGGGACTTCGAGCATTCGCATATTATGCATAATATAATAAATCTAAGTTCTAAATTTTATTATGCATAAATTTGCATATTTTACAAGTTTTGCTTTTTAGAGCATATTTTCGCAGCATGTATAGCTTTCAATAAATGCTATAAAGGAACTGCACACTGTCCTATTTAATACACTAATATCGTATCTTATTATATGCCGCGTATTATCCTCGCATTTTTCGATTTACATTGTTCAAATTCGTGCGCACTGATGTGCGATAGCACAAACGAATGGACTATCGTAAAATAGTTTATTTGGTTAACAATCATTGAGTTTGATTAATAACTCTCAAATTATTCATCTCAAAACACAACATTTTCACGTAAATACCATAAATATAGAACCAAATATTAATAAAAGCAAATTAATGATATTATTTTAAGTTGTTAGTACACAATTTCAATAAAAAAAAATTGTAGAGCATAATATTTTAGTACATAAAAATGTCTGATTTTTTTTTAAGCATATTCACATGTTTTTTAGAGCTTAAAATTTCTAAGCCTAGTAGTAATATTATAAGAGAAGTTTCCGGCTGCTATGTTTATATCTATACTGTTATAGTTTATGAAATAGTAAAATTAACAAAAAAAAAATATCGTTTTGCATTTCAAACTTGCACAAAGAGAAAATATGTTTTTTTTTTTTTTTAAACCAGGTGGAGGTAAAAAAAAATCCAAAAACATCGTCATTCAAGAATCTCGCCAACACATTCACTATCGTTTCCTCTAGTTCATTTCAAAAACACCCTGTATATTATATTATGTGATTTTTGAAACCGCGCACGGGCAATTCAGCCATGTAGTAAAGTATTATAATTTATTGTTATATATGCCGACGACTAGAAAAAAAGCGTGAAAATAATAATAAAATATAACAAGGACATCACTTGGCGTACTTTGCATTTCAAACTTGCACAAAGAGAAAATATGTTTTTTTTTTTTTTTTTTTTTTTTTTTAACTCCCTGTTCGGAGTATTGCCAATCGGGCGTTCCGACCGCGATATTTATTGCACACCATGCCGTTAGAGTAGGTATATTATAGGTGGGTACCTACATTATTATTATATATTAAAATATAATCTACATGGTTTTTTTTTTTCCAATTTTTTGTTAGTTTTTGTTTTCAATTTTAATATTTGCCTCCTACGGTAAAAATCAATTAATTTAGTTTTCCCGAGTAAGGTACATATATAATATATTATACATGTAGATACTGTAATATTTATATAATATATCGCGTAAGTACACATTGTACAGCGAGACACGCGTACACAAATCGTAAATAATTATAATATCACGTCGTTCTTTTTAAAAAAAAACTTTAATTGAGAATATCAATTTATTTATTTTCGATTTCTACCGGGAAATACGGCGTCCGTTCCAAGCCAAACATCAATCCTAAATACGACAAAACAAATGCCTAGCGTATACGCCACTTATATGCAGGGACGAAATTCTTTGACTTATCTTTCGGAAATTTAAGCGCGTCTCTACTGTTTGTTTGAAATGGAACACATGGGGCGCAGAAACAGATACAAAGAGAGAGGAGGGCGCCATGACCCTCATATTCTACAACTATTTATATAATATGTATTATTTTTTTTTATGCATACAAAATACGTCACCCTCCCCCATGAACAACTCCAGGATCCGCCTCTGCTGAGAAGGTACATACTTTGAATTTCTATCAAAATACATTTGCATAAAAATTTCTTCTTAAAACGTTTATAAAAAAATTTCTACATTACGTTGAACTTTTTTTCCCGCTATAATTGTAAATCGTCAAAACAATTATAATAATAATATAAAATTCTAAAAAACTCAAAAATTTCAAATAGACTGACAAAACTGAAAAACTCCCAGAATGGTTTGAAAATTGTACCAAGTCCGGAAAAAGCTATATACAAGACACTATATCTAGTTTATATGAAATTCAGTGAAATTTCTAATCTCTACAATTATTTATTACATTAATGATTTCCCAACGTTTTTATAGAGTTTACCCCTTAATTAAGAATACTACTACAAAGAAATTCAACTCCACGTTGCACCAAAGAGACGAACATTTTACTTGATACCATCACCTCCAAAGTTGATGATAGGACTATAAGATCAATATTTTTGTGAAAAAGTTGTTCTTATACAGAAAAAACTAAAACAAAGTCGTGTATTGTAGAATTATAATAGTAATCATCATAACAGAATGTAAAATAAATATTATCTATTATGTAAGCATATCAAAAATTAGTCTTCAATAGGTATTATTATCAATGATTATTTTTTTAAATTATTAATTACTAAATTAAATTTAAAAATCGGTGTGGAAGACAAAGCACCTCATAATTTAGGTTGAGTTCAATAATTACAAGAAAAGCTAATTATTTTTAAGTCTTATATTCCCTCTTCCTTTATTTTTTTGAATTCCAGCACTGTCTGTATTATATTCTTAAGCTTTCTAATGCCATGGTATTATACTCATTTCCATCTAGTCTTGGAAGATAGGTTGGGACACTAGCTATCTCCTCTGTCTTGTTAATTATGCAATAACTTAGATAAGTAGTTTTAATTTACTTTATTCAGAAAATATCTCGAACTGAACTTTATACAATTTATGTTCAACATTCATAAAGGTTGGAAATGCACATTTTTTTTTTTTAAATTAAACAATTTTTTTTTTACATTTTATGTTTGTAAATAAATAATAAAATGATATAATTGTCATTTGTTTCAACTATATAAATATGATTTTTAAACTTGACCTCAAAGAATACAAATTCGTACTGACCACGCTTCACAAAACAATGAAAATAGCAGATTAAATTAATACGGAAAGTGCCTCTCTAATTAAATAACCCGGTGTTTCGATCTTATCGTCTAAGACGGTGTTCATATCAGTACCGTTGTCAATATGTCTTCTGTACGTTCTCGTAACCTTAAAACGAATCAAGACATTATCTCAGCAATACTTAATGGCAGTGGCACAACCATCAACTAGGTCTATAACACGTTTGGAAACTAAGGTTTATTCACTATATAGGTAATAATTACGTGCATAAAAGTATAGGTTTTAGATTCTGAGTGGAGCAAGAAATGTATTAATTTTAAAATTATGTTTTTTTTTTAATTTTATTTAAATTTTAATAAAATTTTAAATGTAGCACTTTTTCTGAAAGAAAATCTTGCTTGGGTGATACTTTAAGAAGATCATTTATTCATTTTTCCAGGGATTTTCATAAGAAGTGGAAAAACCCGAAAAAAAAGTAGGAAAAACAGGAATTTGTATAATTTTCAAATCGTAAATGTAATATTTATGATTTTAAAATAGTATCAAGGCCTTTTAAAACATGTTTAACCTAACTCCGCTCAGAATCGTTTTTTCGTTTACTTTTGCGTACAAATATAAATT